AGGCCAGTTTGTCAAAACTCCAATATGTACAAAGAACAGTTACATTTTTGGGTCATGTCATTTCAGGAGAGGGGAAAACGCTTTCAGATAAGCGTATTGCATCATTGGCTGCTCTGCCAAAACCTGTCACTAAGCGACAGATGATGTCATTTTTGGGTATGTGTTCATATTGCAGGTCATTCATTCCTAACTATTCTCCGCTCGAACAACCACTCCGCACAATCACGCTTGTCACCGGTTTGAAACCTACAGATCGCCTTATATGGACGCCGGAAGCCGAGGAAGCCTTCATTAACATGAAGCTGGCTCTCCAATCCCCACCGACGCTAGGTCTACCTGATCACACTAAACCTTTCACTCAGGCAGTGGATGAACGACATGGGTGTATGACCTCAGTTCTCCTTCAAGATCATGGGGGAAAACAGAGGCCTGTTGCCTATTTCTCCTCCAAGCTAGATCCTGTAGCTGCTGGCCTGCCTAAATGTATCCGTGCAGTTGCTGCAGCTGAGAAAGCTCTCAACTCCTCACGTGACATTGTGGGATATGCACCTTTGACCCTGTTAGTTCCACATGCTGTTTCTCTCATCCTCTGTGAACAGAGAACATCACACCTCTCTGCTGCACGTTACCTTAGGTATCACACATGCCTGTTGGACATGCCTAATGTTTATGTCAAGCGATGTAACACTCTGAACCCAGCGTCTCTTATGCCTTTGCCTGAAGACGGTGACGAACACGACTGTGTTGCTGAACTTCTCATTGTGTGCACACCTAGACCGGACTTAAAAGACGTTCCTCTGACCAACGCTGACCTCATTTTGTATGTTGATGGTCTGCCTCTCGCAACCAAGGGGGCACTAATCGGGTGGGTTTTTCTGTTGTTTCAGATTCTGCTGTATTCCGTTCCGGCCCACTCCCATGCCACCTCTCAGCACAAGCAGCAGAGCTCATCGCACTAACTGAAGCCTGCACGTTTGCAGAAGGCAAAACTGTGACTATCTACACTGACTTACGTTATGCTTTCGGGGTAGTACACGATTTTGGGGCTATTTGGAAGTGTAGACAATTTCTGAAATCTGATGGCTTACTTGCAGGCTTACTAGACACCATTCTGCTCCCATCCGAAGTTGCAGTCTGTAGATGTGCCGCACACACAAGCAGCACAGACCCAATTTCCCTGGGAAATGCGTCTGCTGACTCAGCCGCAAAGGCAGCTGCTCTGATTCCTCTCGCACCTCACGCACACTCATTTGTTAAAATCCCTGTCTCCTCCTTCACTGAGAGAATGTCATCACTGACTTCCATGCAGCAGCTAGCTCCACCAGTTGAGAAAGCTCAGTGGAAGGCTGCTGGGGCTGTTTTTGACCCAACCTCCAGCATCTGGGTTGGTCCGAATTCCAATCCATGTCTCCCAAGACATTTCTTCCCTCATTTTGCTAAGTTGACACATGGGTTGGATCATGTGTCAAAAGGAGGGATGTTAGAGGCTATCAATCAGGAGTGGTTCACAAGGGGGTTCACAGTAACAGTTCAAAAGCACTGTGAAGCATGCCTAACTTGCATTACGCAAAATTCTGGTAGACCAGTAAAGGTTACAGGACCCGGAGCACATCCACCTCCCACCAGGCCATTTGAGCACCTAATGCTGGATTTCATTGAGCTTAGCCCATCAGAGGGTAAGAAGCACTGTCTGGTGGTGGTTGACATGTGGTCCAAATGGGTTGAAGCTTTCCCAGTAAAGGCACAGACAGCAAATGCTGTGGCAAAGGCACTACTGAGGGAAATCATTCCTAGATGGGGACTACCAGACAACATTTATAGCGACAATGGTTCACATTTTGCTAATGAGGCCATTACCCAGATAGGAGAATACCTGGGCATGGACATCAGAAAGCATTGTGCGTACCATCCACAGAGTGGGGGTGGGGTGGAAAGAGAGAACGGCACAATAAAAAACAAGCTAGCAAAATGCTGTGCAGACACAGGTCTGTCATGGACACAAGCTCTGCCCATTGTGCTGATGTACATGCGGATGCGGAAACGAACACGGAGTCAACTCAGCCCATTTTAAATCCTTTTTGGTGCTCCTCCACAGATTGGACTCAAGGCTCCAGGATGTCCTCTTCCCTCCACAACTTTGTGTGAGGATGCTATGTTGTCATATTGTGTTAACCTGTCATCCACTTTAGCAGACATCCAACGTCAGGTAGCCGCAGCCTTACCTACCCCTGCCACTGGTCCACTTCACCATCTCCAACCCGGCGACTTTGTGCTGGTCAAGGATTTCCGGAGAAAGAGCTGGAAATCCAATCGTTGGCAAGGTCCCTACCAGGTGCTTCTCGTCACCCAGACAGCGGTCAAGGTCGCAGAGAGAGCCACGTGGGTCCACGCCAGCCACTGCAAGGTCGTAGTCACAGGAAAGGAGAAACGGTAGAAGCAGACGACAACAAGTGACGTGCCAAGTCACCAACGGAAGAAGCAGACGACAACAAGTGACGTGCCAAGTCACCACCAGCACCACACTTGCACTACATACACCAAAACTCACACTACACACACAAGGTGTCACGAGCGAGTGCCAGCTGAGCGGTTTGATATGCCTCTGGTTCCTCGTTTTTTGTTATCGGTGTGCGGGGTCTGACTGTCCTTGTCACAAAATCAACCGAGGGAATACACACACACACCAGATGGAGCATCCCCGCCTCATGATGAGGGCTCGCCTAGAAAGACGACAACGCAACCGTGAGCAATGTGGAAAGTGCGGATACTACCGGAGAGCCTGGACAATCATAGAATGGTTCCTCTGCATATTTGCCATGATAGTTGTGTTAGGACTAGTCCTATATTTCATTATCCCAATACTGAAGAAGTGCGTTTCCAGCATGGTATCCTCAGCTTTCGTTCAGTATGCTGCTATGCCACTACACGACAATCCTACTTTGCGCCACAGTTACGAGAATCGTATACCTTGTACATTCCACCGTACCCCTGTTCGTGAGTGTGACGAAGGTAACTTCACTATGGACTGACGGCTTCAGGCCAGGTGCTGGTCGGGTCCTCGGCTCCGCCTGAAAAGATAGGGGAGTTTGCGAGAGCGCCGAGAGGAGTTATGCTGGTGTAAGGATGACAGCGGTTGAGAGTAATCGGGGTGCAAATAATATGTTGATGTCTGTGGCTGATGATTGTGTGCACCTGGTGTCCTGTGTTGTCTCCTCCCCCCTCACCTGTGTCTTGTTGTGCTGATTAGAGTGTGTGTATTTAGGCTCTGTTTCCCTGTCTGTTAAGAGGCTGGTAGGGTGTGTGAGATCCTTGTGGCTGCAGGATGTGTGCAAGGAGAACAGCAGGATTGAGGTTGTGAACTTTGTGCACATGATTTTAATAAATGCCCACGTCGGGTTATATTTTTGGACGTTCTGCCTCTGCCTCCTTGCTTGGTCTGGGCCGCTCAACGGTCAGTCTCACAATTGGTGTCAGAAGTGGGATTTGACCAAGTAAGGAGGTGAAAATTACGAGAGGAAAGAAGAGGGACCAAAGAGAGGAACCGCGGCTGGGGGTGGCTATGCCTGGAACGGACCAGGGGGCCACGGCTGTTGAGACAGCAGGAGACGAGAGACAAGCAGCAGGAGACGAGAGACAAGCAGGAGGAGCAGCGTTTGCAGGCCGAGGAGGCGGACCCGGACCCACGAGGAGTCGACAGAACCTGGGTCGTGCTAGAGGCAGACCAACGCATTACAACAGGACAAAACAGCTTCCGGATAAGTGGCATCACGACATGGTTGACAATGGCTTCACTGGCCCCGCTGGAGGTGGCGGAGGAGGCGACGTTGAAACCGGGTGGCTGACTGGTTGTCCCGAAGCCGAGACTGTAAAGACACTGTGCTTCCTGGGGAGAGGGGGAAGGAAATGTGACAAAGGTAACTTCGTCACTATGGACTGACGGCTTCAGGCCAGGTGCTGGTCGGGTCCTCGGCTCCGCCTGAAAAGATAGGGGAGTTTGAGAGAGCTCCGAGAGGAGTTATGCTGGTGTAAGGATGACAGCGGTTGAGAGTAATCGGGGTGCAAATAATATGTTGATGTCTGTGGCTGATGATTGTGTGCACCTGGTGTCCTGTGTTGTCTTCTCCCCCCTCACCTGTGTCTTGTTGTGCTGATTAGAGTGTGTGTATTTAGGCTCTGTTTCCCTGTCTGTTAAGAGGCTGGTAGGGTGTGTGAGATCCTTGTGGCTGCAGGATGTGTGCAAGGAGAACAGCAGGATTGAGGTTGTGAACTTTGTGCACATGATTTTAATAAATGCCCACGTCGGGTTATATTTTTGGACGTTCTGCCTCTGCCTCCTTGCTTGGTCTGGGCCGCTCAACGGTCAGTCTCACAGTGAGCTAGAATCAGAAGAGTCTGATTTCGACACTACAATATAATCCATGTGAATCGAGTGTACCCTCCTCTTATGCTTAAATTATATTGGAGTCTGTCCTCCACAAAAACAGCCAGTTTTCTATGATATATTTGTGATTTGTGTTTACTTAAACCAGCGATGGAGTGTATTCATTGATGTGTTATATCAGTCTATCCTGTCATTTGTTTTGTTTTTTATGATTGATCAAGTATGATTGTAGTGAATGTAGAATGGCAATTTCTTATGTTACCTTATATCGTAAAACCAAATGCTTCTAAAAGCATTGTCTAACAACTATACCATTTCCTGATATGTGCTGTTTTCTCTGCATACTCTAATGAGGGTTTTTATTCCCAAGCGCTTCAAGGCCACAGAGCTGATTTGGCAGACTATGTTGAAACTACTCCTCTTCACACAAAGTTTGAACTCCCATAACAATATGAGACCGTGTGAAAGCAGATTTCTGAGGAAACTCTGTCTGCCCGCCCTTTCTTGTATATAAGCTTTACTATTTTGTGACTATTGCACACACTCCTGCAGACTATCCTATACTCTGTGAGACCTGTGTCTTTGAATATTCAAATACAGAACCAGAAAGACAACTCTGTTTGTTTCACCATTTATTGTTGATCATTCGGACCTGTGTATCTCCACAGTATTGACTAGGTCTAAGATTTCCGTAACAGGCATAAGGCACAGATTTGCACAATTCATTAGCTCAATCTTTGTTCTCTGCATGAAAAAGCCAGGATACAGCAATTACAAGACATTACTTTCACAATAGCTGAACATCATTAATCATCAGAAAATACTGTTTAGTGGACAAGAATCGTTTTTATGTCTTCTCAAGATTACACTTCTCCATTCCTGATGCGGATTTCACGCGCCATCCTGCACACCTCACAGATTCCGCAGCAAAAGGTCATCAAGGCATCGTTGATTATTGTTCCCTGTGAGAAGATTTCAACAAAATTACAACACGGAACCAAAACCCACTGTGAGGAAATGCACCAGTTTTCTCAATTGAAGGAAACACCTAACATTTCCTAAGTTAATGCAATCTCTGTCTTTCATCAGAGCTATTGAAATGCAGTCTTCTTACAGCACCACCCAAAATACAACGGTGTTATTTGTGTTTGTAATTCAATAATATAAGTAACTGACCTCTATGCCATAAGTGAGTCTCATGTGAGTCCTCATGGCTGTTGTGCCTCCTGGCAGACAACCCAAACAGCAATTCTCTCCATACTTATGAGCAGTGTAGCAGCTCAAGGCAATTGGACAGCAGCAACCAATAGCACCTGCACAAAGATGGGTATTTCAGTGTGAGTTTTTAAAAAGAAAAAACATGAAAGTGTGCCTTTAGTGTATAGAGAAACATGTATAATGTCAGATTTCTCAAGTGGTACTCACAGACTAACAAGTCGCTGAAGCAGGAGCAGAGGCCGCTGCTCCACTCCCCCGTTTGGACGTTCGTCCCGTAGCTGCCTGCAGCCGGTTGGGTGACCACTGGGTTTGACATGTTGGATTACTGGATCTGCTTGTTGTTTCCAATAAAGCTATCTAAAAGTTAAATGAAACAGTTAGCACTGGATAGCATGATAGTTTGTGTTGCAGGATGAAAAGCTATGGGAGAATGTATCTTAATAACACTTTCCATGTAAATCTACAACTGTTTCTATACTTTTTTTTTACATATACAGTACTGCAATGCCATGCCTTTTCAGTAAAGGAAATCTCATGTTGAAAGGAATAATTCAGAGCTATGACTAAATATATTCTTAAACTCTTCGTTGGAGCATAACTGAAGAAAGAGTTCATGCATTATTCACACTCAATAGCTTAATCAGAATTCAAGATTTCCCTGCAAAGCATATTATGTATCAACAAACATTTAATAGAGATATTTCCTTAACACCGAATGAGCCTTAATATTGTTGGCTTTTTGCCATTTTCACACTTATTAATTGAAAGATGATGGCTTTAAGTGAGAAATACAAATATTCTCATAACAGTAACTCTAACTATAACATACAAACGGCCGTGAAAATGAATGTGTTACTTTAAGAACAGTTCATAAATTATCTTGTTTCAGTGCCGTCAGCATGAGTTTATCATGATTGCACGAAAGTAAAACATTTAAAAGATATTGAAATGTGTTTTATTAACAAATGAATCTTAAGTTAATTAATAGTGAATTCTTAAGTTAATAATCTCCTGCGAGAGGAGAAAAGATGTCACTTACCAGAAGATTCGGTCGGTGTGCTCTCAGTCTGATCAGGCTGACAAGCTGCACACCGCACACAGGAAGCAGTGACGAGCTCGAGCTGTGAAATGCTGGTTTGTCCAATCAAACGGCTGTTTCTGCAGACAAACTAAGACTATTAGAACTGCTGCTTTGCTTTGAGGCTGATGGTCTGTATATTCACAGATATCTACAGATCACTGGAACATGTATCTTTTAGGGAGTGAAGGCTTCTAATGAAATACTTTCCTAATCTCACATTAGATCAACTCAGTTTAGAGAATTCATGCAGTTATCAGAATTTCACGCCATCATATAACAACCACAAATGCATCACGTCTGTGTTGTCATACAACTTGAGGTTTAATCTACGCAGTGTCACTGAGTTTCACAGGATGTGAACCAGTACAAAACTATGTTAAGATAAAAAAAACGTGCTTTCAGATTGACTAAAACCCTATAAGGGAATCAATCAAAATGTTAATATCGAGCTCCCTGTTATATGCATACAGAGCTGCTCTTGTTAGTATTCCAAGACGTATATGTAACATCATTTGATTTAAAGGGACAATGGAGAATCCATACAGCGCAGTCATCAGGTAGTGATGCTATCTCTGAAATTAAAAAAGTTTTCCACCACATTGGAAGTGAAATTGAATGTCTATGTGATTAATTACTCGGACCATAGTTTAAGGTCATGTTGTACTTGATCACATAACCACAGGATACGTTTGGTATTTGGACGAAACAAGAGACACTTCAATATCTCTTGCACTCAATAAAAACGTAAGACAACATTCTCAAATGACTTATTTAGTGTGCCATTTATGGAGTGGATAAACTATTTTTGTAGAGTTGTATTATTTCTAGATATTTCATCTGCTAACACTTGACCTCAATCAGTGTTTACAAAGGGCAAATCACAAGTTACTAAAGGGCATATTGTTATAAAGACAAACAGTACTTAACGGTGAGAAGTATTAATATTGACATTGTTTTTAATTAACATTCTGCAATGACTTCTTGGAGACATATCTAAGTGATTTATTTGTTTGATGAATGATGAAACACAGGTAGTTTTGCTTTTAAGAGCTGATAGAAGAATAAAAGTTCTGACATCATGGCCAGACATGCAAAAGGGTAAGGGGTTAGTGAGTGGGAATGTTCAGCCCAGAGATTTGGTGTTTGGTTGCCGGCTATATTAGAACAAATAACTGTACAATTTAAAATTATGGGTTATTTGGTGGTTATTTGACTTCCCTTCATTTATTTCAGAAGTGCGGGCTCATTTCTTTTGTGTAGCTAATTATATTTAATCTAAACCACATCTAATTGATACATATTTTAGTATAAACACATTTTTTAAATACACATTTCCGGGACACTTTATTTCCATTGTATTCTGACATCAACATGAAAGCAATTAAAGGAAAACATATTGTATGACAGTGATACATGAAAAAGGACTTCCAATCCAAATGCTTTACATCAGATGGTGTGAATGTAACTTTGTTGGTTAACAAGCATTTAGAATCATTTGTATTATACAGAATATTTTTGTTTATGGGGTCTAAACAGATGCAGTCTTGGCTGCCTTGGGGTCTGCGGGGGCTAAACTCTGCATCATCAGTCTCTGTTCTGCTTTCTGCTTCTGCACTTCCTGGAAGACCTGTGAAGAGACATGACAAAGTGTCAGTGGAAACACGAAATAACACCTTCAACGTGTGAGTCAGGTTGACACAGAAAGCTTGTGCGATGCTCTTTGAGACAAGATGCACAATTATTACACAAGTGTGGAATATAAGTCTAGTTTAGGGTCTTTAGATATTTACTCCAATAGAGACCATAATTATACAATACTAATTTACAAATACACATTTTATTTGATCATGAATATAAAATATAGACGATAACAGAATAATGAGGATTTGTTTGATACCTTAATGCAGAGGGCCTTCTTAGCCAGCCAGCGGTGAGTGACCCTCCTGTAGTACTCGGGGGGGAAACTGTAGGTGATGCCCAGCTGCTCGCACACCTTCTCAAAAGCATCGTAGTTCACCAACCTCAGGTTTTTCAATAGCTTTTTCCTCCGATCAATATCCATGAGCATCCGCCTCTTGTTAGATTTGTCCTTGAATCAAATAACACATAGAACATTGGGCTTGGTGATTCGAAGAAGCTAGAATTTCAGGTAGTACTTCATTCCAGATGAAACTGAGATACCGTTCAACAAAAACTCTATTTAATCTTTGTGTACATTTAACCAATGTTTTACGTATGATGTAACATGGACATTTCCAACCATGGCTGCACTAGACATGTTCTCATTTGGTGTGGGGGAGTACACAGGATATCCTCACACACACACACACACACACACACACACACACACACACACACACACACACACACACACACACACACACACACACACACACACACCCACACACACACACACACACACACACACACACACACACCACCCACACACACACACACACACACACACACACACACACACACACACACACACACACACACACACACACACACACACACACACACACACACACACACACACACACACACACACACACACACACACACACACACACACACACACTAACTGAAGCTTTTGTGGTGAAACCAACATAAGATATCGTACGTCATCTAAGAACAAGCCTTTCCTGTTTAGCGTGCGAGCGAGGGAGGAAAAAAGTATGTTAAATGATGCTGATGTTACTCACCTTCTTATGTTTTTGCAAATGCTCCTGGAAGTTTCGGATTTTGGCAGTCAAAATAGCCACTGAGGGAAAAGACATAGAAAGGGAGACTGAATCAGTTAAAAGCTCTACATCCTTCGCCTGCTTTTCAGCGAACACACTATGAACAACATTGGAGAAACTCACCCCGGACTTCCACTGAGGTGTAGTCATTCTCATCCCTCTGGACTTTAGCAATCAGCTGTTCCCTTTTCAGCTGGAGCTTGTCACTCTAAAAACACATAATATCAAAGTAATTGATATTGTTGATATCATCGGAAACACAAGAAAGCAGAGTAAAACATGATGATGCCATTTTTGGGGTCATTAGAACTTACATGGCTCGCCAGCTCCAATGACAGAAGTCTTTTGACAACATCATCAGTCCTGTTGATTGAAAAAAAACACTTTTATTAGAATAAATACAATAATGTAGATTTTTTGTGCATTTGGAATATACATTTTATTATTTTTTACTAATTTAATTGAAGGTACTGCATAAATGTGTGTTTACGTTTGCAAGAGGGGCACGGCTGCATAGCCACTCTTCAGCATTGTTGGAGGAAGATCACTGAGCTGGCTCACAGGGCCTAAAAGACAACCAAATGTTAGGATGAAAAGAGAACGACCATTTTAAAATGACAAATCATGGTGTGTTGAAAACGCAGCTTCCTACCCGTCTTCTTTTTCTTTACAACACGAGCATAATGTCTCACTGGTGGCGCAATAGCAAAGCAACCTGCGAGAGGAGAGAGACAAATAATTACAAATGTGTAGTAAAAACACCAAAAGTAAAACAACTTAGATAAAGGGATCAAAAGAAATGTGAGATAAGAGGCTCAACAGGTGGTGCCTGAAGAAGTGGATCAATAACAACTTGAAATATGATATTGTATTGCAAGACAAATGAAAACATTTGTTAGATACTCAACAAACTGGATCAGCAAAGGACCAGTGGTGGCCATTAATATGAATGAACTGTGATCAAACTTCACATAATGATAAAGTTCTTATAATACTGAATCCTCACATCTGTGTCGGTTTCAACAACCACGCATGTCTTGACCTTCACAATTAGTTTGTATGTCTAGACATCTACAAACAAATATCTTGCCCACACAAAACACATAACACAAACGATGTTCCACCTCCGAAATACCGAAAGAAACCGAGCCCATAATCTATTTTAAATTATTGCAGGTATATCTATTTATTTAAGCGGTAGGACCAGGGTGATTCTCTTATCAAAACTGTCTGCTAAATTAGTATTTTATTTTTCAGCATGCCATTTATCATTAATACGATGCCTTCTCCGTTGGTTCATGTGAAACATTTGTATTCTGTTGCGTGAGAGTGAGTGTGGCCACAGGAAGATGATGCCAAACAAGATGATAAACAAGTTGAAAGCGCACGATTTGAAGAGCACAACCGCGATAATCTGTTGCACCCACCAGATAAATTACACATATCAGATAAGGTAAGAGGAAGGTGGTTTGATGATGTAATTTCCTCAAAACACTGGTGATCATCACTGCAGAAATACACCAACTATCCTGTTCTCAGTGCTCTACTGACAATATGTACTGACAGTTTGAATTATTTAAAGTGGACCTATCATGCTATATTTGAATAATATATAGTAGGGCCATACCTATATAAAACATGTCTGCGATGTTTTTTTTTCAAAATACCAAACAGATCATGCATTTTAGCCATGCCTCATTCGCTCTATTTACTCTTTTTTAGCCCTGTTTTTGCAAGGGCTGAATCTGAGAGAAGTCTTCTTCGCTGCTTTTGTGGTAGACTACAGCGCCACCTACAGGCCTGGCATATGTACTACAGCGTCTCCAGCGCTTTCGAGCGGCAATGGCCGTGGCTGTCTCCTCCTGATAGGTGGAGAGTTGCCCATATAGGCGGAGCTCCTCGTTCCTGACGTCAGAGAATCTTCAAATCTGTATCAGATCCGTTGCAGCCCCGTTTTTAGAGATTTGGGTATGGAGGAAAAGAGAGAGGGTTGTGTTTTCTGACACTTGGTGAGTTCCCTGACACACCGGGGACACACATTCATGTATAAAAGACGTACAAAAGGGCATTTTGCATGATAGGTCCCCTTTAAATGAGGACAAAAACAAATTTGCAAGGCCAGCTACTTTTTAAATCTTATATTATAAATTGTGTTGCATTTGCGTCAGACATTAGTGTACATTTGTATATATATATATATATATATATATATATATCCTTTATTATATTAACCAGGTAAAAAGTCTCATTGAGATTAAAATATATGTTTCAAGAGTGACCTGGCCAAGATATATTTATTGTTTTACTCTCCACAAACATGCAACTGTAAACCAAATGTTTATTAAATTGTATTATTAACACTAAACTCACAACTTAAAATGAAAGCGTTTAGTTTATTTAATAAAAGAGCACATGTTCAATGTGAAAAGTGACAGTAGATATAGATTAGTTGCAATTTGGTGCTATATATATATATTAAAAAA